ACACACACACACACACACACACACACACACACACACACACACACACAGATACAAAAAGTAAAATAAAAACTGGACTCAGAGAACAACGTGCTTCAGTGTTCTTTTTCCAACAGTAGATATCTTCAGAAATTGATATATTTCTGTAAAAGTATTCCTTTATAAAACTCAGCTCTTTGGTGGAGAACAAAACTAGCAATTTATTAATTAAGCCTAATGTTAACTCCAATTTTATGGGTCAGTTAAAAATATTAATTCATAGATTTACTGCACCTCAGCCTGGCATTCTTCATAAGGGAAATTGAAATTTATGGTACTTTCTTAATATGAATTCCCACAGTAAATGACAAATTTATCGATAGCAACCTTGATTAATGTACTTTTCTTCTAACTTCATTGTCACTTTGCTGCAGTTGTTTCAGAATACTGTTATTGATCTCATTTTCATGGCTTTTACAAGTAATCTCCATAAATTAAAAAAAACTGTGATATGTACACACACATACAAACATAGTCTTAAATATTTCTGAAATATTATTGACATGTTCTGAAGAAAAAGAATATAATTACTTTTTTTTTCCAATTTTCAATTCTGTTATGGTGGGTCACAGAGTTAGTCAGTTGTTTAGACTAGATTTGGCATTTTTGACCACCTATCAAGTCCTTGCCAAAGACCTGGGATAGTCAGATGTTGTTTAATAATATTTAAGATATTGGATATATTCTGTTCCAAGTAAAACGGCCTTTTGCAACTGATTGATGGTGATTTTGTCAATGGTGATGTTGTTCAAGTCATGTTTCAGATGTTTTGGGATTGCACCCAAGGCACCTAATAGTATTGGTACTGTCTTTGCTTTCTTTTGCCACAGTCGTCCTATTTGTAGATTTTTGTATTTTGTGATTCTCTCCATTTCTTTCTCTTCTCTTCTGCTGTGCCCAGGTATTGCAATGTCCACTATTAAACTATTTTTAATTATTAAAAAAAATTTTTTTTTCAACTTTAATATTATTAGCCAAAAGATACAAAGAGCAAATTATAGATAAATTTAAATTTTGGCCTATGGTAAAACAGTTTAACAGATAAAATATAGTGATAAATTACAGAAAACATTTATTAATAAAGAACTTGTTTAAGATCCATTGTAAAATTTATAACACAATAAAACATGACCTACAGGTTCAAAGTCAATATCATTACAGGGACAAAATCTGGGAGACATGATAGTCTTTTGAAATCCACTAAAAACAAGTTTGACAGCAACACAAAAGTTATTGCATATTTTTTTAAATGTAAACTGCTACAATATATAGGGAGCAGAAAAGCATAATTGAAATTGCTTCTAAAGATGAAGGCTGTACATGGAACTGTGGTGTTTCCCATTAACTTCTGCACTGAATTGTCAAATGATATTTGTGTAATACAATAATATTTCAGTGTCATGCTCTGGAAAACAAAGAATCAAGATTAATATGAGTCTGATCAATCTTTTGGTTTACCAGTTCAAACTACGTATCTAAATAAAAATTATTTGGGATGTCAGACAGCAATATTCCCTTGTTTTTGAAAAACTATCACAGAAATAAAAATATAATTGTACTTTGCCTATCTTTTATTTTCACGGGGCATGACCCAATTTCTATGAGAATATCAGAATTTGGAACACAACTTGGAACCATTAAAAGAACTCTTAAAATTTTCACCTGCAATTGGGTAATTTTATTGTTGGCAACTATAATCCAAATTGAAGTTCCATAAAAGATTTAAGATGAGATTTCTATAGTTTAGATTTGATTCCTCTCAACAACCTTTGAAGGTGGTTTGTAAGCAACTTGGAGCTAATTATAATTTGCAGTTCATCACAAGACTTCGGAAAGTCTTCAGAGATTCAGTATAAGAAACCCCTCCCGTGATTCCTCCCCACTCTTTTTATAAAAGTTTGGTAACATGCAAGACAAGTATTCTTTCTACGTGTTACCTCCTTTTCTACTGCATTCCTTCAGTATCTATGATAAGTGGAGAGGAGTTTATCTTAAAAGGATTTCAGAATTAATTATTTCACTGCTTGCAATACAGATAGTTTAAATCCGTACAAATGGGCCTCAACCTAGAATCATAATGGAACTTGGCCATTATGGCTGCAAGTTGTGAGGGTCCTGTGATTATCTCACTTGACAAACCCCATCCCTGCTCTCCCCGATGGGGTTATTAAGCATCCAGCAGATCACTCAGTGGATCACAGTGTGGGAGACCTAGCTTAGACCCAGGCCCACCTGTCCCAGGTTTCCAAGATCTCTCCCAACCACTGAAGTACACTGTGCTCCCCTTGAGTCCCCACAGACCTAGGGCTTGCTGTCTTTTATATTTTAAATATCGGGAGTCCTTGACTTACAATCACACTTGAGCCCAAAATTTCTGTTACTAAGCGAGACAATTGTTAAGGCAGTTTTGCCTCATTTTTACAACCTTTCCTGCCACAATTGTTAAGTGAATCGCTGCGATCGTTAAGTTAATGCCACAGTTCGTTAAGTGGATCTGGCTTCTCCATTGACTTTGTCAGAGGGTTGCAAAAGGTGATTCACATGGCCCTAAGATTCTGCAACCATCAGAAACCTGAACCGATTGTCAAATGTCCAAATTTTGATCACATGACCTTGAGGATCCTGATGCTGCAATGGTCACAAGTGTGAAAAACGATCATAAATATGAAAAATGAGCATGTCCATTTTTTTCCAGTGCCTCTGTAACTTCAAAAGGTCACTAAGCAAATGTTTATAAATAGAGGATTACCTGTATAAAATATATTTATATTTTATGCTGTCAAATAATGGACTCACTGGGTCCCATACCTTCCTCTCCAGCTCCTATCACCCAACAGTCACTTATCTTCTGAAGATCTCCTGAATGCTCCAGAGATTGTGTTGAGGAAAGAGAACAGGCCTCTCTCCCCTTCAGCTTCCCTGTTGGCCACGTGGTTCTGTCCCAGAAGAAGAAGCCATTTTGGGAGCGGCTGCAATGATGGGGGGAGAGAAAGCCATGGTGGTCACTATAGCATCTCTGTAGTCAGTCATAAATGGAGGCAGATTGCTAAGCACCTAAATTTTATTCACATAACTGCAGGGACAGTGCAACGGCCATATCTTTGAAACCAGGTCATAAGTAGATTTTAGGGGGGTCTGCTGTAACTTTGAATAGCCACTGAGTGATCAGTCGCAAGTCAAGGACAACCTGTATCCAGTGGTGTGATTCAAATTTTTTTACTACTGGTTCTGTGGGCATGGCTTGGTGAGCATAGTGTGGCTTGGTGGGTGTGGCTTGGTGGGCTTAGCAGGGGAAAGAATACTGTAAAATCTCCATTCCCACCCCACTCTTGGAAGAAGGTTACTGCAAAATCCCATTCTCCCCCACCCCACTAACCTGCTTTCCAGCTCCGTTCTCCTGTGCAGGGCAACAAAAGAAGACCCAGCCAATCAGCTGGGACTCGGGAGGCAGAGAATAGATAGGGCAGGGCCAGTCAGAGGGAGTATTTGCCGGTTTTCCCAACTACTCAAAAATTCCCTTACCAGTTTTCCAGAACTGGTCAGAACCTGCTGAATACCTTCTCTGCCTGTATCTATAAATCTATATAACTGATAGCTTTTTCTAAACCCCTTCTAACTGTCCCTTAGAATTATGGTATTAATTATGTTTGGCTGATATCAACAATTAAAAATTTAGAATCATAAGGTTTAAACAGGCAGATCTCCTAATGTAAATCTAATTAAAAATATCAAATG